GGATAGTTGCATAATATTGAGTATAATGAAAATAACGCCTGCTGACTCACTTTCAAATAGATCCTTACTGATACAGCTTTTTGTGCCTTTTTTTCCCCACATAGACCTTTGGAACGATCCAGCGAAGATGTGGATATAATCTTCACACGACTGAAGGAAGTTAAAGCTTTTGAGAAATTTCACCCAAATCTCCTTCATCAGATTTGTTTATGTGGTTATTACGAGAACCTGGAAAAAGGAATCACATGTAAGAAACGCATCTCCAGCAGTGTCTGTTCCTGTATGGCTCCCACTCATCTGTGTACCCCGTGGACAGAGATAGCAAACGGAGTGTTTATGTGCCAAAGATTTGATCTTCAACCGGGGGCATTAAGTCGACATTCCCCTCCACTCTGTTGCTTCAGTTCCGTGTAGGCGTTTCCTGGGCTCCTCTGTTCACAGAATGTAAACGGGCCTTTCAGGGCAGCCTGCTCTCCAGATGGAGCTGGGGGGACGTAATGAGTCATACATTTGGCTGTGTCCTTAGAAATCCAGAGAGTTGTCTTCTCTCATCCGAGAAACATGTGATCGATAGGATATTAAGGAAAGATGAAAGGCCTCTTAAATGCTAATAGTAATGTTTTGAATTAACCTCAAAAGATTATTCTAGGTGGAAATGAGGGGCAGGGAGGGAGACAGAGTGACAGCTGGATTATTTAATTTTTTTTTATTAAAAAAAAAAGTAATACTTCTCCATCTGTTGGGACACTTTATGCGCAGTAACAGAAAGCTCCCATCCAACTGGCTTGAAAAATCAATTACTCATACATGAATAAAAAAAATCGAGTGCTCGTTTGTAAGAAGTCCCGAGTAGGATGACTTCGGGAAGGGTTAGTAAAGTGACTCAGCGACATCATTAAGGTCAAGGTCCTTCCTGTCTTTTTCTTTTCTTTTCTTTCCTTTTTTTTTTTTTTTTGATACACATTCTCAGGTGCTGGCTTTGTCCTCAGACTCATCTCAAGCCATCCTAAAACAGTACAGCAGTTGGAGGCCTCACAGATCAGCGTAAAAGCATCTCTCTAAAGTGGTGGTTCTCAACCTTCCTAATGCCGCAGCCTTTTAATACAGTTCCTGTGGGTCACGACCACAGGTTGAGAACCCCTGCTCTAAAGGATCATTTCTTTTTGTCTCTGTTTCAGACGTCCCCCTAGCAGCCTCCCTGTATTGTTTTACTGAACAGAATTGCATCACATGACTATATCTGAACCAATTAATCACTGGCAAAGATTTTGGGGTCCCCAGGACAGATTTAGATTAATTATGATTACCTCAGTGGAGCTGGGGAAGGAACTCATGGGCCTTGAGCACTTGGCCCTGGTAATGTGGGTGGAAACTTGTATAAAACCTGGGTTCGTGGATGGTTCTGGGTGGGAAAGCGACAGGGTCGTTATTGAAGAAAAGCAACCAAAGAACAGTCACCTCCAACCCTTACATCGTGTACGTCTCCTTCAAGGTATTGTCCCATGTAGTGACACTACAAGCAAGTCACTTTTCTATGTTAAATATGTTGCCCCTATAGATCACTGCCAATAGATATTTTTTTCTTACTAGTAGCAGAAACTCTGTTCTCTCGAGGAGACTCTATTTTCTGTTTCTTAAAGCCATTTACAAAATGAATCTTCTACGATATGTAATATGAATTTGGGCAAATAGGGGCCAAATTCATAAAAGGCAAAACCCAGACTCTAACATGAGTCACTTACGAAGGTTCGGAGCAGCAGAGTTCCTGGAGAGGCCAGCTCTGCACTCGTCAGCCCCGTCTCACGATCATCCTTACACTTGGTTCTTTGCCTCTGCACAGCATGTCCTAATCAGGGAGTTCAGACGAACTTGTCATCATTAATTCTGGTTCCTAGACGCTTGTTCTTTTGCAGTGGGCAACACCCTTGCCACAGCTCAGCTGTCCCTCGGAGCCCTCATGATTTTTCATTGAGTCACTTGACCTCTGGCTGTAACTGTGAAATGAATTTTAAAATACCAGATTATTTATCCAGTTATTTAGCTAGGGTATTTGAAAGGATAGTTGGTTTGTATGAGATTTTTGATCTGGTGTTTCAGAATTATTTTCCAAAGTCCAGTCATAACATTATATGGGAAGTAAGATTCTATCTCAATACCTAAATATTTTCTCTCTGAGATGACAAACTTAGAGCAAAACCAGATTCCAGAAATTTCTGGTGAGAACCATTACTGAATGCCTACAAGTTGTGCATTTATAGAGTGAATATAAATGCACAGTGATAATGCAGTAGTTAAACATTTTAAATAAAGCAGTTAAAAAAATTCAGTGGTCCCCTTCAAGGGAGCTATGCTATTCTAGAAAATGCATTGCTTTTAATATGGAGTTAGGAAATTGGGGTGGTGCTCTGGTATTCTGTTAATATGTACCCCACCTGAAGTAATTATTTCCCCCAAATCACAATACAATGAAATGTTTTTAAGATAAATTATGTAGAACATCAGTCAGTTCTTAAATTCAAAGAGTCTTACAGCATTTAGGATTATTTTCTAGTATTACAGCTCTGTCAGTAGAGAGCGTTCTGTTTAGTTTCACTTCATAGAATGTTGAATAAATAAGATGCAGCTCTGTGGACAGATGAGGTAAAGGAGAGCACATCGTGTGCTAGTGGGAAACAGGGGAGCGGTGGGAAGGACAGTGAGGTCCACGTCACGCTTACGAAAACTGGTGAAAAACTGTCAGGTCATGCAGTAAATCTAACTTGTATTTGGTATATTTACATCACCATTTCTTCTTCAGTGTTTCGCCAGGGTGATATTGGAACCAACTGGTATGCTGTCCTGGCAGGGTCTTTGGATGTGAAAGTGTCTGAGACCAGCAGTCATCAGGTAATACATGTTATTCTTTTTTTTTTTTTTAAGTAGGATGTATTATTATTGTTTTAAAGACGCATTACCCCTATGTCTTTTATGCCATGACAATTACATTTTCAAATCCACTTTCTCATAATAAGGGATTTAATAGTATTTGTTCGACTCCTTTATTAAGTCCCTCAACAAACATACGCTGAATGGCTTCCGTGATTTGAGTGTGCTGCCTGGTGTGGGAACATGGAATGCAGGAACACATGGCTGCCTTGCAGGAGCTTGCAGTCTCCTGGGAAGTGCAAACAATTGCAATGTGGTCGATTACTGCGGCCCGAGTGGAAGGGGAGCAAAGGGGAAGGAGAACCGAGTCTTCCCGGGTTTCCTCTTCGATCCTTTCTCTATCTTGCATCCTGACTTCTTCTTGTCTTAGAAGTGAGCTCATCGGCCCCTCCAGTGATGCAGGGGACGTGTTGTCCCCCTAAAATCTCACGATTTCTCTACCTCATCTTCCCAATGAGGTAGAAATGGGGGGTCAATATTGTCTTTCTCCTAAAGTGCAGTACTTCTTTCCTTTTCATAGCTTCCTTAGTCACCTCTGAGGAGTTTGCCCTCCTAGTAAATAAAACTCAGAGCCTTTCTTTTCACAGTATTTGTGAATGTTTGAAATTGGCCCAGAGTCTCCTTTCATGTCCTCAGTGACACTTGCTCTGTCATTATAACATGTGGCCTCGATGTACACACCTGTCCCGTGTAGAGCCAACAATCTCCCATCTGAAAAGCGGGGCCCCAAAAGGGTCACATTCCAAGTGTCGCTATGAACAACTCTTATTTCCACATATTCAGGATTCAGATAAAACCTGAAGGAAGAGAATTTGTTAATTGTAAAATCAGAATTATCAAGAAAAATCAAGGAAGTTCTTAAATGGGCAAATCCTGTACAGGGAAGTGCCACGTTTGATACAGTGTTTCTGAGGCTTTTTCACAAGTAGCACACTTCAAATACCAGAAACATCTATGACAGACAAGAGATTTGGATTTTGTAAGGACTTGTGTGCACATTGGAGTTGTGGGCACTCCTGTATTAAACATGGAAGTAGTATCCCAAAAGATGGTTGGTAGGTGGTCATTTGGAATTTGGAATATGAGTTTCCTGTGTTGTATTTGTTGAAATGGCTAGTCTCTGGCCAAGTCCTGCTTACCCCACAGTAGACTCTTCTTGGGCATCAAAGCATGGAAAGTTCCATTAGACAATGTGAGGCACCTGTGCTTCCCAACTTTGATGGCACTTCCCTCTTGCCCTGTCTTACAGGGCTGGTTTTCTCTTGGAAAGAGAGGGACAAGTTGAGAGGTAGGTTTTGATTCTTATAACGTGCCTCGGTTTTCCGAAAGGACTGAGAACCACTAGCATTTCTTGACTATTTGCCGTTAAGTAAGATGTTTATTTATATCTAGTATGTCTGAGATATTTGCTTGGCGGTGTTCCAAGAACTTAACACGTATTTATTTATTCCTTAAATCCTCACAACAGACCTATGAGGTGGGTCATATTACTGTGCTCATTTTACAGGTGAGAAAGTAAGTCCCTGAGTGGTTCAATAATTTGACCCAAGTACTACTCAACAAGTCTAGAAATTAGGAGAATCAAGATTAAAACCCAAGGAGTCAGGCACCTGAACCCATGTGCTTAGCCACTGCCCTCTGGCATTTGACACACCAGAAATAAATACTCTGCATCCTTTATCTCTGCACAGTGCCTACCTGTGCCACCCAGGTGGGCACCCTCTGGGCCCTTAGCTGAGAGCTGCTCCTGGTGCTTCCCTTCCCAGGTTTCACCTGCAGGGCTGTCCTGAGGGGACAGGGCTGGGGAGGATCAGTCTTTTTAGACCCTCCTGCTGTTCCAGGTGGCCCCAAATGAATGATGATGGAAAGAGGGGAGAAGCCAAGAAGAGAAAGGTGAGGAAAGAGAGAAAAGGGAAGGAAGATGAGAACTGACTGCAGGAGAGAAGAGGAGGAAGCACAGATGTGCCTAAGGGAGTGATGAGTAACCCCAGCCCCTGCCCACACACCAGATGCCAAGGCCGGCCTGGGGTGTGGGTGGTATTAAAATAGCATTTGGCCAGGGGCTTCAGGACTGCTGCCCTGGATTAGTTGTCTCTCACCATGGGGTCCTAGCAAAGAATAGCTGAGTAGCACTTGGTTTTAGCTGTGCTAAAGAAATTTAGAGCTTTAGAAATTTTAATAAGCTTTTAATCTTGGAGTTTAGCTGTGGTTTTGACCTCAAAACCAACACAGAACTTTCCTAACCTGGACTTGAGCTTCTCTTGGTTGTTAGGAATTACTGGCTTTATACCAATGCTGATTTGCTGTCTCCTTTATAGATTTCATTCTGCAATGTTCAACCAGAGTTTTCTGGACAGATTTGTATCACTAAGATAAAAGGAAGAGAGAGCATGTTGACTTTGTGTATGTAGCCTGAGCCTTCCAGCCAGCATGGTAGGGGATCAGGGGAGGAGGTGGCAGAACTGGGCTCCAGCCACCTGAGAGAGACACTGTAGGAGAAGGAGTGGGATGGCTGAGCCATTTCCACCTGTGCTAGCCTTGCAGTGGGTTCTGGTCTCTGGCCACTAGCAGGGTGGGGCTGATCAGGATGTTTGGTTAGCTTGGCAGAGGGGTGCCCAAATAAGTTCGGGTTCTTCAGAGAAACAGAAGGAATGGGAGATAGAGGTAGAGTTTTATTTTAAGATGTTGACTCACACTAAGGGCAGGGGTGTCTGGTATCTGTAGGGCAAATTGGCAGGCTGGAGATTCTGGTGAGAGCTGTCGAAGTCTTTTTTGAGAATGAGTCTCACTCTGTCTCTCCCAGACTTAGGTGCCGTGGCACAATTACAGCTCACTGCAGCCTCCAACTCCTGGGCTCAAGTGATCCTCCCCTCTCAGCCTCCTAGAGTGCTTGGATTACAGGTGTGGGCCACTGCAGCTGGCCATTGTCGCAGTCTTGAGTACGAAGGCCAGAAACTCAGGCAGAATTTCATGTTGCCATCTGGAAGCAGAATTCCATCTTTGGGAAACCTCCAGGGATACCTGTTCACTCATTAAGACCTACAACTAATTGGAAGAGGAACATGTTATGGAGAGGGATGTACTTGACTTGATTGAAGACTATTGATAGTCTTGATTTGAAGTCTATTGATCGTAAGTGTTTATCACATTAAACACATATCTTTAAAACAACATCTAGACTTGTATTTGACCAAACAACTGGCCACCATAGTCTAGTCAAGTTGAATTAACCATAATATGTCTCAGTGGGGAGTGAAATGGGAGTGGGTGATGGGCCATAGGGGGAGGAAGAGGAAAGAGCTGGAATTCCCGCCCTTCCATTTCTAGAGACCAGAAATGATCTCTGCAGAGTGCCTTCACTGCGTGTGCCACACTGTGCCAGGGCTTCTGTGCACACTCACTGGGTTAATCGTCAGGCATTCATTCCCTATCTTACCCCTGGCTTTGAAAGCAAGGCGTGGTAACCTTAGCTGTAACTTTCCCAGGACCACACACATGTACCTGAGCAAACTAAGATTAGAATTCAGGTCTGACATACTCCCAATGTCATGTTCTGCAGGTCACACATGAAAAAAGGTGAGGGGATAAAAGAGGCAGGAAAAAAGCTCCAAGAGGCTAAGAGAAAACGGAGGAAAGAGGGAACAGTGCAGAGGGAGGTCTTTGCAAGAGAGTGTGGCTGGGTTTCTGGTGGCCTGTCCCTCCCTGCCCTGCAAGTCTCCCTTATCATCTGACCGTCAGAGGGGATGGACTGACAAATCCCCCCAGTGGGGTGTAAGCTGCTTCCCTGAGCAAGAATGGTGACAGCCAGGTGGGAGTGGCCCCTGGCAATAGGGTGCCCTGCAGACCGCTGTGCCAAGCGCTTCCCAGCGTCACCACTGTGCCTTTAATACTAAGATCAGTCTCATTTTACAGGTTAGATGTCCAATAACTTGCCCACGGTCACACAGCCTTTCGGTGTCAGGGCCAGTTCTTTGTGCCTCTAGGGCTCAAGTGCATGGCCATCAGGGTGCCATCCCGAAGCATGTGAATGGGAAGGAGGAGAGCTGATGGCTGAGCCATTAGGAATAGACTCCTCTGACCCCCTCCTGCATGTCTCAGAACCCTACACCTCCTCACCTCCAAGCCACTGCAGGTTGGAGGGGGAGTCTCCCAGCCTGTTTTTGATCTGGAGATATGTAGTGAAATGAGCCCCACCTCTTCAAAGAGGTCCCCGTAAGGGCGTGGGACAGACAAGTGTGGGCGATGAGAGAAGGCGAGTGAGATGCGGAGTGTATGGGCACGGGGGGATTGTTAGAGTTCGTGTTGATGGGATGTAGAGGGTTGAGAAAAAGGGGGGCTCCTGACCTGGGTGAAGAGGTGGCTGGTGATGCTGCTAATGGTAATAGGGAATACCTTAGGGAGACAGCCCTTTACAGATTTTGTGACAATATTTTGATATAATACTATGTATTTGTCAGGCATTATTGATTTGGTGGATGTTTTCTTAACAAAACACCCTATTTCCTTTATATGGTGATAGGAAGACATAATGATAGATAGATAGATAGACAGACAGACAGACAGACAGATAGATATTTCAAGAATACATAGAGCATAAATATTCTATTTGGCTCCTAAGTTCACGTTACCTTCCTGCCTGTTTCAGCCCCTCCTCTCCCTTCCCAGGCAGGGCCCCAGAGCCACACTCTGCTTCTGCTGCCCACCTCCTTCCATAGATATGTCCCCCTAAACCAAGGCTTTAAGAGATGGAGGGGAGAGAATAACCCCTGGATGGGGAAGAGAAATGGTCCCTCTGTCTTGGAGACTCTCCCCGGGAGCTGGCTCTGGGTCACTTTCATTTCTTTTGTTACTGCTTGAATCTGTGTTTGTCCTAAGAACTCTGGGAAATGTGTAGATTATCCTGTTCCTGTTACTTGGAGGAACTTTTAGAGACTTAGAAGTCCTTGCAAATATCATTCTAT